GGGGCGAGGAAGGGGGGGGGGGCGCACACTGCAGGCAGATTCTTATCTCGGTGGGGGCCCCCCGGGTCACACACGATGTCCCGAGAAATTGTATCGGCACGTGCGACGGAGGAGAGGCGGGCTGGGCTGGCGCGCGGCCGGCGGGGCTCCGGCTCCGGTGCTCCGGCTCGCCATATCAGCTTACTTGTGTGCTTTCTCCGGTGTTCTCCGGCGCGGCCCCGCGCAGCCTGCTGGGGGTTGCTCGGGCGCGGACGCGCGGACTGCAAGCGCGGCGTGCCCGAGCACGACACTATATAATGTCGTACATTTTTCTGGAAAAGGGGAATTAGAAAGTGTTTCTTGATAGGCTTCGTCTATTCTTGGTATGGCCCACCGCGTGCTACACACTAAAATCTAAGGAAACGTTTATTCATAGCTTTAGTAACATACTGGCGAATTGAAAATTGCATCAGCGGAGCATGGTAATGGAAACTTGTAGGCTATGAATTAAAACGTTCTCATGATTCTGGTGTATAATGGCGTGCACTTCAGAAATGGCCGAGTCTGTTTTCCCGCACTGGGTTTTTTTCGGTTGGTTGCGTGGAAAAGGGGGGGGGGGGAAGACCAGAGGTATTGGTATAGCAATTCCAAAACAAACGGCCATTTTATTGATGTCCTCCTTTTGCAACATGAAGCAGGATGAACACCATACCCAATTAACCCACAGCCGCAGCCACGAGTGGCGCGATGCACTCTTCTCATTCCTGTACTCTGTACCCGAATATCTCGATCAGACACTCGAGTGTTCTGCTGTATACCCTACCCACGTGCCCCACCGGCACGGGGCACACGGGCAGGCCCACCCCCCTTGCTCTGCACAGCGCACAGCACTTGGGTGAGGAAGGATTCGGGAGGATTGCGACAGTGATCAGCACTCACTAAAATCTGATGAACTTTCTAATTCGTGGCGCAGGAATCCCTGTGCGTGCTCCACTTATAAATTTAGGCACAAATTTCTTCATTCAACCCTTAAAAATGCGAAAGCGGAGCATGCGCGGCAGAGAAATGTATAAGGATTTTTAGTGCTTATCGGCCTGGTACTTGAATTGGCCGTAGGGTAAGGTGCACTAAAGCAGAAGAAAGAAACCTCTCCTAACCGACCCGGCCCCTGCTCCTGCTGGAGTCGGAGTGTTCACCTTGGGCCAGGTCACTCCTAGGAGCTGCCGGCGGCTGGCCGGCTGGCCGGACCGGATCGAGACGAGCAGCCGCGACTTGGGCTGTGGGCTGAGCTGATTCTGAGCCAATGTCCGTGCGTCTGTCGGGGCCTGCTGCTCCAGTGAGGCGTCAGTGGCTCTGGTCCGGTGACGGGTCCTGACGTCAGAGCCGCCATAGAGACACTGCGAGGATCTGCGCGCCAGCAAACAGAGAGATCACATTTGGAAATAATTTCGAGGCCGACATTGATGAGGTTCGTTTCATCCATCGTGTAAAAGTCACCACCTCGGCGAGAGGAACGAGTGCTGTATGTATACACTCGTCCCACGCGGACTCGGCGCGCGCACACGCACACGCACACACACGCACACATCCGTCCATCTTCCTGGTCCACGTGCTAGGGCCGTGCGAGGCCGTCGGGCGTTGAGCAGGCTTGTTGCCAACGCCACCTTGCGGCCGAAACGCGCGAGGGGCGGTATTTATGTCCTCACCCTCCCTCTACGCCCCCCCCCCTTCCCCCCGGACCAAAACACAAACAACACACTCCCACCGGGGCCCCGATGGTAAGGTAGTTGCGCCCTGAACTAGCACTCGAACGGTACACAAAGCCGTGGCCTGCCGTGTGTCGATGTGTGTGTGTGTGTGTGTGTGCAGGCGAGCACGTGAGTGAGTGAGAATGCGTGTGTGAGTGTTTTTGCAAACGGCTTCCACGCGGTGCGGGCGGCGGAGAGGAAGTGAGTGGGGAAGGGCGGGAGAGGGAAATCAAAACAGTGGCGCGAAGTACAAATACAGCCGTGTGGCGGACGGGAACGGGGACGGACGGACGGACGGACGGACGGGCCGCGCCGGTAGCGGAATACTACGCCAACACATGGCCGCTTGCTTAGCATCAGCCCGCGGCTCTCAATGCTCCCCTTCTTACCCTTTCTCTCTCCCCGCCGCGAAGGGTTCTCCTCTTCCAGCACCCGCTTTGCAGGAGGCTTCGGCCGCCACACTCATGTACGTATATCGAACCCCGCGAGACACTTTCGCTCGCGGCGGCGCGCCGCGGAGCAGCAGTGTGTCATAAGAAGGTATGTCCGCCTCATTACAATCGGTCGCGTCGCGGAGACATTTTTAGTATTATTATTTTCCAAAAAAATAATTCTAAGACTGCTTTCTCTCGAGGTTTGTGGACATTTCGTATCACGAAAAGTTGGGAGGTCGTTTTCGTGGCTTGGCCGACACAATGACACTAGCTTTATCGAGAGCAGCCCCCCCCCCCTCCTCTAATCCTCAACCCAAGGAGCTTACAATGAAAGTAAACATCGAGGTAAACATCTGCAAAAGGTTTGCGGATAGCCGAGGCGGGCTCGACGCACGTGTCGCCAGTTATCGGGCATACTTATCCAGAATTTGCCAAGTTACAGGTGAATTGCAGTGTAAATTGCCAACCATCAGG